CATTTGCAACAGCTACAGCTGAAATGAGAGGTGGGCCCAAGGATGTGACTGTCACCAGAGGGATCTGCCACATGCTATAAATGTGATTTCTCCCCAACATCAATCAGAATATTCAAAGGAAGGCTAAGATTTGTTGGGGGGATGGTGCACATTTGTTCTATAGCTGTTTTCCTAAGCTGATCCTTGTAGAAAAGAAGGAAAGAAGCTTGGACAGAATGGAATTATAGAGACAGGGCTGGCGTCACCTCTATGAGGTCCTTTAATTTATTCTGGTGCCACACACGTCTGACAAATCCAGATGAGAATCTAGCTCATCGGAAACTCAGTCCACAAGCAGCACACAGAATGGAAGGACACGGTGACCTAACAGAGATAAATCTCCTTTCCTTTGGGAGATCCTGCAAGCCAGGAGACTTGGTCAAAGATTAATTTAGTGGCTTAAGAAAGGCTTTTCTGATGAATGAAGAAGGCAGGGTCTTTGTGCAATTAGTGCATAATAAAAGGTAATAATGACAAAGTCCACAGCTTCCCACTGTTTGACGTAGTGAATAGGGTAGGAGGTGGCATGTTAATGAAAATCTATGTATTCTTGTAGCAAACTGTGGTTTAAGAACTCAAAAAAAATCACAGAATTTAAAAAACTAAGTAAATAGAAAAGCATTCTTATAATAGCACAGAATAAGCATCAAAAGGTACAGTCTTATGCTCCCGTATTGAATATTCCCACTGGGTCCTGGTTCACTTAGCTCCACGATACTGGGAAAAGGCACTGAATGTGAGTGGAAATAAGCAATGAAATTGAAAGAAAGGAAGTCTCTGGGGCAATTGAGACTCTCTGAACTTCAGTTTTCTTCCCTATAAAATGGGGATAATAATAACACTCACTCCACAACTTGTAGGGAGGATTGAATGACTGTGTGGGAAAGTGTTCTGTAAACTTCAAGGCTTCATAAAACAGTATAATTAATCCAGGGTTTGAAATGTAGTTGTTATTACTTAAATTGTTAGCATGGTAAACATCACTCTACTCATTAGAGGGAGGAAGTTCTTTTTATCTTAACATTGTTGAGTGCAAAGAATTTTCAAGAAGCCAACAAAAACCCAACAGTATGGAAATAAATTTCTGGGTACCCTAAGGAAGGAAACACATATTCTATCTTATCTTGGCATTACAGCATTGCTAACAACAGCTATGGAATCCACATTTTTATATTACTTTTATTATTGTATCTAACAGGCTTTCCAAAGCCCCATTCTGAATGAGGCCCAGCAAGTGGCAGGAGGCATATCCCATATAATCCTACTCACTTTTATTCCATTTCCTTTAGCTATTTCTCATTACTTTATGCTTCTCTCAGCTATTTATGCCCGTTTTCTCTGGGTAGCTTTATTTTTATGAGAAGATACTCACTTTGGAGTCTGGTTCTTACTTACGTCTTTTTCTTAAATTAAAAGAGCCTTTCGTACATTACAGAATCAGCCAGATGTTTAAAAATACAATCAAAGGTTTGAAATGCAGTTTTGTGGACTATTTCTGACATTGGATTTCAGGTATTTTTCCATCTCGCTGAGTTTAACTCAAGTGAATGTAGTCCTGACTTGATGGGTGACTCAAAGCTGAAAGTTTCCAGTAGATAGAAAGATACCGTTGGCTCAGACAAAATGAAGCTTTGTTTTAGCATAATTTAAATATTTTCTCACTACTGTTTCTTACTCATATCTCTTCTGCAGATTTAAGCAGTCTCCAAGATTTTATTCTTTCATTATGACTTTGGTTTTTGCTCTCCCAGGAATCTCAGATCTGGTACTCTTGTTAATGGAGTTAAGAAATGGGAGATGGAAAAGAAATATTAAAAGATATTTAACTTTTAATTTAACAACAATTTAACTTTTAACAACCAACAAATTGGCCAGCTGGTGCGTGAATCCATTGCCGACCAGGCCTGGCTCTCAACTTTGCAGGCTAAGAAACAGCTGTCAGGGGTGCTGAGAATAACCAAGCTGAGAAAGTTTGACTATAACAATCAGATTGCAAATTTATATATTTACAACAATAAAAAGAATTGTGATAATAATACCAGCTACCATTTCTTGAGCGTTTTCTATATGTCAGTCATCATACTAAGTATATTTTGGATTTGTTAGCAGACTTCCTGTTTTCAGTCCCATCTCTGCCATTTACTGATATGTGGTCTTAGGCAAATTCCTTAACTTTTTGCAAGTTACTTGCCTTATTTAGTAAAGTTTTCAGAAGAATGCCTGGCACATCATAAATACTCTGTAACTATTTATCACTAATATTAATTCTCATAACATCCCTATATGGTAGATGCCATTACTATTCCCCTTTTACTGGTGAGAAAATGGAGATTTAAAGATGTTAAATAGTCTGCTTAAAGTTCCATAGATAGTAGTAAGGAGGCAACCAAAATATAATTGGGACAAGGAAACAGAATTGGCTGATTAAGGATCCAGGCTAAGAGAACATTCCTGTTCATCTTCTCAGTGGAGAAAGTCTTTCCAATGAGGTTGTATCACTGAGTCTGTTGGTCAAGTTTCGTCTCAAGGATAATTATCAGAAAAGCACTGTGAGTATTTGCTCTGGGACTTCCCTCTCTTCATGGCTTCATAGCTGATGCCCCCACTTGCCATGATTGGAGTATCATTCACATTACTCCCAAGTACCATCTACAACAGTGCTGTCCAATAGGATTTTCCGTGATGATGAAAATGTTCTACATCTACTTTGCCCAACACAGTAGCCACTATCCACATGTGGCTATTGAACACTTAAATTGTAACTAGTGTAACTGAGGAACTAATTCTATTTAATTTAAATTAATTTAAGCTTAAATAGCCATATATGGCTGGTTGCTACTGTTTCAGATAGTACAGGCCTGCAAGGAAAAAATGTATTTTTAGAAAAACAATAACATGAGGTAGTTGGTCATCACTGAGAGAGAAGCAAAGGGATTCAGTTAATCTTATTATGAGAATATTCTGTGTGAGTTTCACTCAGCAACAAAGTTTTCTTGGATCAGCTAAATTATCGTGCTCATTTCCTTTTTAGTATAGAAGTTTCAGAGGACAACAGAGAGGCCCATTTGTTTGACCAGTGAAAAACTCAGTGGAGAATTCTTGAAATATAAAATTCAGAGATAGTTTGTCCCGGTTCACATACTTTGGGTAGCTCTTCCCCCTAAGATTCTCTTAAGGCAAGGATAGCTCTTGGGTTGTGAGGAGAGGAAAATGAGGTCAGAAGTAAACTGAGGATTGAAAACAGCTTTGCAAATGGTAACCCTTGAGTGAGCAATCCAAACTGAAACACACTCATGGGCCATCACCCTTTACCTCTTCCTGGCAATTAGGGCAGGTGTACTTAGCTTTTCAACCAGAGTTTTGAGTCAGAAGACCTTGGGTAGAGTCCTAGCTTTATCCCTTAATAACTGACCGACTTTAGACAAATCACTTAACTTCACTGAGTTGCACTTCTGACTCTGTAAAACAGGGTAGAAGGTAGTGGGAATCATAAATAATGCCTTCCTCAAAGGGTGCAAGTAAGGATCAAATGAGATGATGCATGTGGAAACACTAATAAAATTGTAAAGGCTGTAGCAACGTCTTAGCAATGATTATTATGTTTATATAGATCACTTTTGCCTTTTAAAACTGCTTTCATAGTTATTGTGTCATTTTATCTCCACCACAGGTCTATGAGGGAAGTAGGGCAGGAATTATTATCTACGTTTTACCATCTGTTGATGTAGACAAATGAGGCCCAGGGAAGCTGAGAGATGGCCTAAGGTTGTATAGTGCACCTGGATGCATTATGCCTGAGCTCAACTCTGGACACACTGATTCCTATTCTAAAGCCCTCTATTCCAAAAAATAACCACCAGTCACAAGCTTGGTATCCAAATTATGCTGTAGAAATTATTCATACTCAATAAGCAAGCTGCCCTACAATGTGAATCCAAAGCTGAATAATCATAACATCAACATAATGATGGTGGGTAGTCACCCACTTTGCTAAGCATTATTATAAATTTTATTCTGTTTAACCCTCATAATAACTCTGTGAGGCTGTGTGTTTATCAGCCCCATTTTACAGGTGAGGGAATTGAGGCAGAAAATGGTTCAGGAATTTGTCTGTGACCCACAGAGCTAGTGAGTGCCAAGGGAGCCTGGATGTATTCGTTTGCTAAGGTTGCTGTAATGAAGCACCACAGTCTGTGTGGCTTAAACAACAGAAATGTATTACCTCACCGTTCTGGAGGCTAGAAGTCCAAAATCAAAGTGTTAGCAGGGTTGGTTTCTTCTGAAGGCTGTGAGGGAAGGATCTCTTCCTGGCCTCTCTCCTTGGCATATAGATGACTGTCTTTTCCCTGTGTCTTTTCATATCTTCTTCTCTCTATGCATATCTGCCTCTGTATCCAAATTTCCCATTTGTATAAGGACACCAGTCAGATGGGATTAGGAACCAACCTAATGACCTCAGTTTAACTTGATTACCTCTGTAAAGACCTTGTCTCCAAATAATGTCACATGCTGGGGTACTTGGGGTTATAAATTCAACATACTAATTTGGGGGGACACGATTCCACGCATATCATTGGATATAAACCCAGATCAATTGGCCTCACACTGTTAAGCATTATGCTTTAATGCTTCCTGACATTAGCAAATTATACCATTCTGAAGCCTTTTGATAGGAAGAAATGTCAAGACTCACAGTGTGGCCCTTGACCCCCAAATCCACTTTTAGAGACACTGAACAGAAATCTACCCTCTAAAAGTTCTTCAATTGGAAAGTGCTCCCCAAAAATGTTTATCTAAGAGACTGGTTTCCAGCTTACTAGGCAATTTGGCATCAGGGACATTTCTCATAAACATTTACAAATATTCTTCTCCGTAATGAAGTTAATCAGTAAACCACACAACCTCTGGCCTCTGTCACTCCTTACCTAGTCTCCTTTTCAGTCGCTGTGAATAAGCTAAGAATGGTAACGCAGTTTCAGGAGTTCGAAAATCCAGTTCAAATTAGTCCTCGCCACAGCTGCACATCGTCAGGATTTGTCATGGAAATGATGAGCAGGAAGCCCGCTAAAGGTAGGACACTGTCACAGATGCTCTCGGTCAAGCTTCTGCAACTGGACTGAGGAAATGTGGGGGACTTTTGTTCGAGATTAGAGCAACAGATCTCGGTCAAAGATGGCTCAGTCAGAGCCAGAAGACTTGGGTGGGGTGATTTTCATAGGGTTCTAGGCAGGAGAGTATCTCATTGAGATGAAATCTAACTATATTTTCCCTACAATTCTTCATTGACTATTATGTAAAATTAGCGTCATTCTTTCAAAGTAAACACTAGGTAGTTCTAACTTCGATGCCTGTGGGCACTTGAAAAAACATTGTAAAGTACATTATTTAATACAGTGTTTTAAAAATGACAAATCTCAGATCCAAGAGGGTCATGAAATCTATTTTGTAGCTTGTAATTAGCATTAAAAACTAGAATAGAATAGAAATGTCAGAGCGCACCTCAAGAAGAAAGGATAAGTGTTATTTCATCAAATTCTGTTTTATTACTTATACATATGTATAAGTGTGTACAGGGATCATGATATAAGATGTATTTCAAACTATGGGTTGTGGTGAGAAAAATAAAAAGACACTGAGAAACATTAATTTACTAGTTTCACAGCAGATTTTTCCCTATGGTCTATAGAAAATCGGATGAGTAAAGAGCTCAGCTTTAGGCCTAGGCTATTTGTTTTCTCTGAAAAAGCAAAACATAGATTATAATTAAAACATAGACAATATAATATTGTCTCTTTTAATATTTTTCTCAAAACAGAATCTTACTTCTTAAATTTCCAGCTAAAAGAGAAACCAATAATTTCTATAACAATCACAATTCTGAACATATTTTTGATCGTTGACTTGACTGCATACTATTTTGTTTAAACGGGATGTTTGGAAGTGACTGGTGCGTTTAGAAATGGAAATTAGTTGGAAGGCTGGTGAAGCAAAGTTTCCATCATTTCAATATAACAAACATTTATTAAACATTTATACTGTATCAGGCTTTGTGCAAGGTCCTGGGAATGAACAAAAAGGAAATATAATATATTCCCCAGAGAGTTCACAGACTAACCACAACAATAACAAAAATGTCTTCAATGTTTATGCTGTGTCAAGCACTAGGCACTTTTTCTTAATTTATCTTTACTACAACCTCTCACTAGATACTATATTATTCCAGCTTTATAGAGAAAGGAACAGAGGTGTAAAGAAGTTCAATGTCTTTCCCAAGTTCACACACCCAGCGTGTTGCAGATGAGCTAAATCCAGATTTGTCCAAGCAGTAGGGCCCTTGTAATCAGCAAGTCATGCCACTTCAACTTCAGCATGGAAGATAAGCCTGTAAACAAACAGAAACGATTGTACGTGCTTCTAAGTGCCGCAGTAGAAGTGTGTACAGAGGGTAGGAGAGATTAATTCTACCTAAGGGCTCTGGAACAGACCTCCCAGAGGAGGAGATCAGCTGACAAGCCAGGGAGAGGCACCAACATCACAAAGGCCTGGCACCAGGAACAGCAAACAACTTCCCAAATGAAGCCATATCATCTAGTTAAGAGACAATGGACTAGGAAATAAGCAAAGGCACAGAGGCAATTTTTCCACTCGTGAAACATTTCAACAAACATTCATGAAACATTTATTATGGTCAGCATTGTGCCAGGGTGAAAAACTGGTAACCTGGACCCTTTATCAGGCTCATTAGAAACTGTCTGTGAGATCATGGGAAAGTGCCGTCCTTATGTCATGAACGTGAGTCTCCCATTTGGGGGCACAGTGGTTCTGATCACAAACTCCCTAGAGCTGGACTGTCTAATACTGTAGTCATTAGGCACATGTAGCTATCTAATTTTAAATTTTAATTATTTAAAATGAAAAATTCATTTCCTCATTATCACTAGCCACGTTTCAAATGCTCAATATCCCATGTGGTTAGTGGCTGTCGTATTGGTAGGTATAGAACACTTCCATCATCTCAGAAAGTTCCCTTAGATGGTACTCCTTGGAGAAACTATTAAATACTGGAGACTTTCTACCCAGATGTCTTTTGCCCTAGTTTGCAGGGGGTCTCAGACCCCTCTGGAATCCATTCAACTGTTCCCATTTAAGAACTCTTCTCTAAACTCTAATGGAGAACTTCCTGTCATAAAGGAATCCAAATTCTCCCACTTTTTGACAGATTGATTCCAGAAAACCACTCATAAATTAGAATTTTAATATATATACTTTCCCTTTAAATTGTATTGAAGTGGAAATAAATTTACCTTTTCAGAAAGCACATTCTAAAGTTGACCAACTTCTGCCCGCTCTACATCTTATGCTCTATCAGAAATTCCATATTTGTTTACGTGGTTTTATCCCACCCCTTGACATCCCTTCCCTGCCACTCCACCACTGCATGCCTACACAAACAGGAGAAAGGCTGGGACTTTTCTGTCTGTTCTTGTTCGCTGATGCATCCTCAGAGCCCAGCACGATGTCTGGCAAGCAGTAAGTGTTAAACATATATTTATAAGTGAAAGAACTATCCTATAACTTATGTCATCAAAACAGATTTATAGGTATTAATAATTATTAATTAACTGTCATTAGAATCAGGATTTTGCTAGATTCATTAGGAAACAAACATCTTCTTATGGCACTCAACTTATCAAAACTTTCTCAACAACTATATTTTATATTCAGAACTACTTTATGAGATAGGAAGGCTGGGTGTTAATCGCCCCGTTTTACAGAAGAAGTTGAAACAAAAAATGGTAAGCAGTTGTTCAAGGTCTCACAGTAAATTCACTGTGGAAGTTGTTCTAGTTCCACCATTTTGAAATATGTTGGCCTTGCTGGTTTTTTTTTTTTTTTTTTTTACTGTAAATTGCATGTATATTTATTGTCTCTGCTCTGTGGACATTTGGTAGAGACACTGAAATACTAGAAGTGGATGTGCTTTGGGAATAGAGGCAATATTCAATAGTATTGTGTACTGATCCCATATTCTTACCATATTTTGTTGTTTTCATGTAATAGAATCCATGTCTTTGTGAAGTCTTTTCATTTTAATTGAGATGATTCCAGAGATTGATATAATATTGATACCATAATTTGACTTGAGTTGGGACTCCATTGTGTCTCTTGATTATTAAAAGATTTGTTTTGTTGACATAGTGCTCAGAGATGTTGAATTGTCAAGTGAAGAGAAAACAATACACATTTTCTTGGAGTCTACAGAATCCAGATTCTGTAATTAATTGATTATCTTTCTTCAGGCAAGTTGCTTAACTTTACTGGGCCTGTAGGCAGAGAGGAAGTGGGGCTGGGCATGGAGATGGAGCGATAAGTGAAGATAAGATGGGTTAGAGAATAAAATCTAGGTTTAAGTGTACTTAAGCATTGAACTAATGCTTTTAATGCTTTTTAGTTCTTTTTAATCCTATTCACTCTAGAAATTTTAGTCATATTTAGTTGTTAAATACATTAGAATTTTGCTTATATTTTATCTTTTCTTTTTTCTGTAATAATTCCACATTTTTATATTCTTCCATTTTGTGGTCATAAGACAAAATACCATTGCCAAAAGTTTTTGTCTGTCAGATATTCTGACTCACTGCTGATTTTATATGGATAAGTCAGGCATGAAAGAGAGGAAATTGGTATTTACACAGATATTGTACACTTTGTGTCCTGTCAATCATTTCCTGGGTCAATGCCGAAGCATTCTTTTCAACAAAAGTTTAATATGCATGTACTCCACTTTGCCATTGTAGAAAGACCTTTAGTTCTAATGCCCAAAGACTATTAGTCTTATAGAGGTTTTAGATATGAAGAACCATAAGATCATCCAGCATGGACTCTTCCCTTTACAGATGAGTGAATCGAAGCCCAGGCAGGGTAGGAAAGTACCATGTAACTAGATTCAGGGTCAGGATGCCCAGGACCTAGAGTCAGGGATGACTTCCCAGAGAAGCTACACTTAAAGGAAATTTAGAGTTAAGTGGAGAAGAGTGAGATGAAGATTTCAGAGGGGACATTTTCACTGAGGAAGTTTCCAGGTTCAGGAAGGAGCACGTGGGAAAGGCCTTGAGTCTGGAAGCAGCATGCCACATTAAAAGAATAGAGAAGTCAGAACGTGGAACATTCTAGAAAAGAAAGGGTAGGATCATGCAGAGCCTTGCAGGGCTTGTTATCAGCTACTTGCAAGCAGAGGCATTGAAGGGACTAACGAACTGAAGTACAAAGAGAGGAAGAGAAAGGTTTTACTTTGATGTTTTAAAGCATCATACATCTGAAATTATGCCAGAGAGAAGAGATTCAGCACATGCGCTTTGAAGTCAGACCCCTGAGTTCAAATCTCAACTAATTAGGTGCATCAGGATAAAGTGGCCTAACTTCTGTACACCTCACACTACTCATTTGTAAGCGGGGATAGTGATGTTACCTACCTCATAGGATTTTGTGAGAAAGAAGTGAGAACATACAAGTGTCTGACACGAGGAAGGACTCTATAATAAAGTTTTCTAACAATAATAGTAATAGTAATAGCATCAACCATCTTCTGAGTGCTGCAAAAGGCCTTCTACACGTATAGATGCATAGATCCACAAACCCCAACAACTCCAAATTCCAAAAACTCTGAAAACCAAACAGTTTTCTCTAAATCTTGGCACAAACTTCTTTGCTGGCAAAACCTGACCTGAATGGATGTGAGGATATCTATGGCCTTTATTTATTCTTCCTAGTGTGAATACTCATACATTCTACCGTAGAAAATATTGCTGTTTGATTCTGAGTTCTGTCCCCAACCATACTGGGAGAAACAGCACAGTATTCTGTTCTAAAATCCAAACAGTTCTGAATTCCAAAACACATGTGACCCCGAGAGTTCCAGATGAGGAAGTGGGAATCTGTATTGTCTCATTCAGTCTTCGGCGTAACTCTTGATACAGACACTTTCATCTCAAACTTGCTGCTGTAAAAGCAGATCCATCAGTAGTTTGCTCCACATTTCGCTGTTCGTGAGAGGTGGAATTGGAATTTTGGTCTAGGGTTGCCTGACTATGCTTTGAAGAATCAAACACATTTGTATATTCTTCTGTGTCTTATTTATGCCTACGAGATTTTTTAGCCTTTTGGATAATTTAACAATACCTGTTTTCTGAAGAGTCATAGTTTATGTTTCCAGGAAATAGAAGCATTTCACAACCTGATAGTTATTATCTAGAGGTTTTATAGATAAGGGGCTCATTTCATAATAATGGTACAGGAATAATAATTGTTATTACTATTTTGATGGCAGCAATAATTTATCGAGCACTTCTTGTGTGCCAAATATTTAGCAAAGTGCTTGCATTTTGCATCCATTGTCTTGTTTAATCCTTACATCAACCTTATGAGGTAGGTGTTATACCCCCTTCTACGAGAGAAAACAGACTTAAAGATGTTAAGTAAATAGCCAGCATGCACACAGATAATAAGTAATTGAGCCGGGATTTTAACCCAGGTAGACTAATTCCATGCACTGCATTCTTTTTTTTTTTCCCTCATTTGTTTTATAATGGTTAAAATAACACATATTCATGGCAAAAATTGCAAAACAGTAAAAAGATTGTGCAATCTCCCACCCCAGAAAATAATGCAATAATTTCACTTCCCACAGTCACTAACATTCAGTTTCTTTTGTATTCTGCAGAAATTTGCCTCACACATATATACACACACACATGTATGTTTTTTTAACACTCACATAAATATACACATTATTCTATAACTTAATTTTTTCAAATAGCACCATATTGTAGAAACTTTTCCATGTGAGCACATGTAGATCTAAATCATTCCTTTTCATCTACATAGTATTTCAGTGTATGGCTGCAATATAATTTATTTAAGTAGATTCTTATTTATGAATATTTAAATTGTTTCCAACTTATGATTCTTACAAATTTTGCTGCAAATGAACGTCGTTACACAAAACATTTTTTGTTTTTTGCTTTTTGTTTTTTTTGAGGAAGATTAGCCCTGAGTTAACATCTGCTGCCAATGCTCCTCATTTTTGCCAAGGAAGACTGGTCCTGAGCTAACGTGTGTGCCCATCTTCCTCTACTTTATATGTGGGATGCCTGCCACAGCGTGACTTGACCAGTTGTGTGTAGGTCTGCACCCGGCTTCCGGACCAGTGAACCCCAGGCCACCAAAGTGGAACATACGAACTTAACTGCTGCACCACTGGGCTGGTCCCTGCACAAAACATTTTTTACACAGATACAAGTGTACCTTTAAAATAAATTTTCTAGCGGTGGAATTGCTGGGTTAGAAGAGTATCTGAGTTTAAAATGTTGAAAGAGATTGACAAATTCCCCTCTGGGAAGGTTTGCTTTCCCAAGAGTGTGTATTGTCAAACTTTTAAAGCTTTATACATTTGAGGATGAAAACTGTGATATTTTCTATTGCAGTTCCAATTTAAATTTAATTATTGGCAAGGGTGAGCACATTTTTGTGTGTTTTTAAACACTTGTATTTGTATTTCTAAAAACTGTCCATTCATGTCCTTTATCCTTTCTTCCATGGAATGTTGAATGATTTCCATGTTGAATAGTTTTTTAACATTCTTTTTTGTTTTCCTTTTTTTTTTTTTTTTTTAGCATTCCTGTTTGTTTTCCTTTTTCACATGTTGAATTTTTTTATTGGTTTGCAAGAGCTATTCACATATTACCAATTTGAGTATTTGGTCTGTCTTCTTTGTTACAGATATTTTTCTGAGCTTTTAATTTAGTCATCTAATCCTTTACATGGGTTTTTTTTTTTTTGCTGTAAAAAAGTTGTTAATTTTTATATAGTTAACTATTTCAGTCTTTTCTTAAAGCCCACACTCCTAATCATGTGCTGCACTGCCTCTCTAATTTATGGAATAATGATGTTAATCCCAGTTTTGTTGTCACTTTTATTCAGGTGTCCTAGCAGAACCAGCGGAAGGTCCTCTGGGACAGAATCTAGAAGTGGAACCATACTCACAATACAACAGTGTTCAGTTTCCCCAAGTTCAACCACAGATTTCCTCGTCATCCTATTATTCCAACCTGGGCTTCTACCCCCAGCAGCCTGAAGAGTGGTACTCTCCTGGAATTTATGAACTCAGGCGAGTGCCAGCTGAAACGCTCTACCAGGAAGAGACTGAGGTAACAGAGATTCCTGTAACAAAGAAGGCTCGACTGGGTGCGTCAGCAGGGAGAATAAAAGGGGATGAGCTATGTGTTGTCTGTGGAGACAGAGCATCTGGATACCATTATAATGCACTGACTTGTGAGGGGTGCAAAGGTAAGCATCTCTTGGTTGGCAATTTTCTCCTTGTCATTGTTTTGCCATATTGATTGTTGAAATTCTTCATACTGAATCTCCCATTTTCCCAGATAACTTCCATTTTCATCTCCTCTGCTTCTACCTCTTTATAACTCCTCACCTTCATTGAGATGTCATAGATCTCTAGAAGAAGGCTGTTAGAGTATTGGGCTTGGATATCAGTAATCTTTTTCCTATTCCCAACTTCACACGTAGTTAAAAGAAATGTATGATTGTGGGTTTTATTTGTTTTCTTTAAAAGAGAAACTGTTAAACTCATCTCTTTTAAAATGAAGATCAAAGAGAATAAGACTTTATTCAATAAATATTTTAAAACACATTTTCATGTATTTTGGTTAATTGAGAAAGAGAGCAGGAAAAACAGAAAGAAAAAAATCAGTAATACTATTCAACAAATATTTCACTTCACAGGAATGCAGATCTGTGAGAAATGCTGTGGGGGAATCAATGAAATTGCAATCCATGTAGAATGGATATAATATAACACGTGAAACATGAAAATGTCAGTATAAAATCCCATGTGATTATTCTCCCCTTGAGGACACAAACAATAAGTTTGTAAAATTCAGAAGCAAGGAAAAGAGTGGACTAGTTGATGTATCCATTTATTTTTGTGTTTGTTCATTCAACAAATATTTATGGGATGCCTAGCATGTGTTAGGCACTCTGTTAGCTTCTAGGAAATTGAAAGCTGATTAAGAACTGTCCCTTGAACAGAATTTGTTGGATGTTGTGCCAAATTGGGGCTCCCACATGCCAATGATTGCCATAAAAATAAACAGAGGACCGAGTCACATAAGAATGGCTCAAGGACATTCCAAAGTTTTGAAAGTTCAAATGATCAGATTGTGTAAAACTATACTAGTCACCATTTGAAAATCTGGTGTGATTTCACTAGAGTTTTTAAAAGTAAACTAATATTTATGCCCCAAATTTAAAAATTGAAACAGATCTATAAATAAAATGTAAAAGATCTCATTTACAGCCTTCAAAATATCCTTATCCTTTCTGTGGAGGGTCAAGATTGTATAGGTAAAAAGAACTTACCAATTCTTTGAAGGCATAGATTATGTCTTCTTTAGCTATATTACATATTCCTCCCCATGTCACCTAACATAGCACCTGGTATGTACTAAGTATGGAATAAATGTCTTGCGAATGACATAATGAAAATTCGTGTTCATTGCTGGTACTTAGTATATATAACTCTACTTTATAAAAAATGTGTTCAAAATTTTTTACAATACTTAATTCTTCCCCACCTCCAAATGTTGAAAGTAAATACTACACGTCAACCTCCATATTTGGTGGCATTTTTTTTTTTTTTTGAGCAGGCAGAGTTATGGAAATGGAAATGTGCTTATGTGACAGTAAAAAGTGAGTTTGAAATAAAGCAGGAAAGGACTGCTAATTGGTTAGAAAAATAAAATAGTTTCAAAATGACCAGCCTGAAAGTTGGATTAAAATAAAAATAAAAGTTCTACACGTAGGTTTGAGAAACCAACTGCTGACCTACCTACATAGGAAAAGGAGAGCTTTGTAGTAGTTCTAGTCAAAAAGTGGGTGGGTCTGTTACTCTGGAGGGCAAAATGGGGACCAAAAGATGAAGCTGACAGGATGGCATATTTGGGGCTTAATTCAAGAAGTAATTTTCTAACACTAGCAAGAAGTCTTCCAACAATGAGATTGACTTCCTGCCTCAGGTGATAATGAACTTCTCATTATTATAGGAATTCAAAAAGAGGTTACATGAACAGGCTTGAGTCCTCATACAGGAAATTTCTGCATTATATGGGAAATTGTATTAGTTGGATTCTGAGGTACTTCTTTAAATCTTCTGAATCTATAGTACCACAGTTTATAATGTTCTAATTGTTTCATGTCTGTGTGTCTTGTCTTCCTACGTAGTTTGTAAATTTCATAATTAAAAAATATCTATAGTTCATCTCACTCTTCATATTGTTATGAATTGATGAAAGAGACTGTTAGACCAGGGTTTCTGAACCACAACACTGTTGACGTTTTGGGCCAGATAACTCTACTGTGGGGGCATGTGTCATATACATTGTGGGGTGTTTAGCAGCATCCCTGGTTTCTACCCTCTAGATGCCAGTAGTAACCCTCAGTTGTGACAATCAAAAATGTCTGAAGACATTGCTAAATGTCCTCTGGGCGGCAAAATCACCCCATTGAGAACCATTCTCAATGGATAGACTATTCAGTTAAAAGTACTGTTATAATATAGAGTTTCTTACACTTGAGTTATATGTGGAGATTTCTTGAAGGGAGCCATTTTTTGGCTATGTCTAACGTTGATTCAAATTGCTTTTATCAGCTTCCTTATGCTCTTTTTTTAAAACAAAACTACAAAACCAATAAAAATAATGTGCTGTTTAGATTATGTGGTTTTGTTGCTCAAAAAGTTATGAAAGCACAAGTTCTTTTGAGTTTGGTATGCCTATACCACATATCACATGAGGCCTCAGGTCCCCTCTGCTTTTCTCTGTTCAAACATTGGTCCACCCAAACCTTGGTTCATCTAGAGCTCCTTTTGGGCATCCCTAAACTGAGTATATCCCATGCATATTGAATTTACCTTTGTCATTTTCTCACAGCTCTTGACAAATAAATCACACATTTGCTGATAACGACATCATGGGCACACAAAAAAATGAGGACAGTTAGTTTTAATGGCAGTATAAGATGATCATGGAGATGATCCAGAGAATGCTATTATTAATTTTTAAGGACATCCATAAAATAAAAATGTAAAAATAAGTTTAATATGAGTAAAGGACTTAGAAAAAAGTCTGGTACATAGTCAAAACTCAGTAATGCCTATCATTATTATTGTTACAGTCTTAGAATCTATAAACATTGAGTATAGTAGCGATGTAATTATTTTCTGCTTATCTTGATAAATGTTGATGCCCAACCCATTATCAGTTGTTTGGCAAGACTTATTCTATTTGATGTTGTCTCAAGTTACCAACAGCCTCTCCAGCTTGTCTGTGTAGACCAGTGCTACTCAAAAGCATGTGCCTGCACCAGCAGTATCAGCATCACTTGGGAAGTTGTACGAAATGCAGATTTGAGGGCCCTGCCTCAGACCTACTGAATCAGAACTTCTGGAAACGGGGCCCAAGAACTTATGATTTAACAATCCCTCCTTGCCAAAGTTTGAGAATTACTGGTGTAAATCATACATAAATGCAGCTGGGGGGACCTACCTGGCCAAGCAGCTTGGTTGTGCATTGTGATTGTGAAATTCTCAAGGGTGGGGATGCTGCTCTCCATTAGGTCATCAAAAGGAAAATTCAATACATAAAATTTAGACTAGAAAGACACAATCTCTAATCTAAGTCATGTTTCCTGCTTGGAGAGAAATAGATAAGAAAACGTGTAGTTTATTCTGAAAATCTGGTTCAAAAGAAAAATCTCATTATGAATATTTTTGAACTGACAAATTTCAATGCCAATGACATGCCAATTCTTATGCAGGCATGCTACAAACATTTTCTTGGGTCCTTACAGCAGCTGTGGAAATTAGGTATTATTGTGCCTATGTTATAGGTGAGGAGTAAGCATATCATTTCAAAAAGAAGCTGAGATGTAGAGGCCAGTGCTAGTAGCTTATGTGATGTATTTTCCACACTTCAGTAGTAAACATTAATTTTCATACTTTATCCCCATTTTATAAACAAAGAAAGTGAAGCACAAGAAGTTGATCAACTTGCTCAAGGCTTCCCCGCTAATAAGGGGTGGAGTTTCAAATCTACAGCTTATAAATCTAACTCTAGAGCCCTTATTATTAACCGTTAGACTACGACGTCTTTTACAGCTGCCCACTAAATGATCATTCTATTCTTTGAGCTATTTGTTCAAGGCTAATATTAACTAATTCAGTGACAAAAGGAAGAAAATCAAGTGCTCCATTTAGGTATTAAGGTATTGGTATTGTCCAAGCTGAGGAAATAAACTTCTAAAGTCAATAACTTGGACTGGCTCACCTCCATACAGGTGAACGCGGTAGTGAAAATGTGTCCTCCTGAGAAGAATTTCCGGGTGTGGCAGGGTGAGTAGAGTGAGACCAGTGTGCTGAGGGAGGACAACCCTATGAGACACTGACTCTAAAGGCAGGCAGGGGAAGAGAAGCCCATAAAGGACACAGAATACAAGTCAGAGATGGGGGCTATGAGAAAGTGTGGGACAGGAGAGAAGAGGACAGAAAAGTGGTCAAAAGAGAACTGATCCTTGGGAGGGTTCAGGAAGGAAAAGCTGGGAGGAAGATACATCTTCAAGAGCAGAGAAAGGCAGAGCTTTTCCACTGATTTTGATTTGAGACTTTGGGGACTTTACTCCCATGGTGCCAGCAAAAGGACAAGAACGCAAGGGAGGAGATGAGATGGAGTCAGGCAGATTCCATGTTCTACGCCAGGGGATGGCAATGTTTTTCTGTAAAGAAACAATAAATATTTTAGATTTTGCACCAGGGTGGTCTCTGTTGCAATTACACAGCTCTGCAAATGCAGCCACGTAAAGAAGGGGCATAGTTGTGGCTTTACTTAGCCTACCAAAATAGGCAGGAAAATTAAAAAACAGGCAGTGAGCCGAATTTGGCCCATGGGTCTAGGTGTAGTTTGCTGACTCCTGTTCTAGACCAATGACTCTTGAAGGTCAGGATCGTAATTAACTGGAAGCTGTGCAGTGAGAGTGCACAATACTCAGGGTATGTGTGCAAGAGATGTAACCTTATTTTGTATAATTGGATTTAATTCCATTTCAAGCCCTGGTGGAAACTTTATTTCATTCAATTCAGGATTATTCTACTCACTGCACTCCCCCCCAAATTTTTTTTCTGGGGTTTTGTTTAAATTCCAGGATTATGTAGCATCGTGGAGAAATAGGGCACTAGGGGCGGGGGTCTGGTTCTCAGTGCAGTTAACATAGTCCGGCAT